TTATATACAAATAACATAAAATGCAAAAAGCAGGTAATGTAATCTAAAGTAAATGCAAAGCCTAAATGTCCTCTGCTAATTTCCTTTGTTTTAGTTAAGAGACGGTAAAATGTGTCAGTAGGCTTTGCAGGGAGATCAAGGGGTGGTTCTACAAGCTGCTGAATCATAGGGGTGTACTTAGTTTATCACAGGACTGCATGCCTCCCTCAGAGTATCTAAGGTCAGATGTTTCCTCATTCACTGTAGTTTTGATATTTGTTTTTATTACTTGACTGTTTTCAGGTTTATGAGTGTTTGCAAAGATATCTAAGAGATTCTCCTGCACCAGCTCTGGATTACTCTTCGGGACTCTCGCTTGAGGTTCATCTTCCAAAACAATTTAATGTATCATGTTCAAATGTTGTTTGGTTGGGTTTTGTTTGAATGTTTCTGTCTTTATAGTTGCTGATTGATATCAGGTCCTTACCAAGTTGCTCTGAAGAGGCCAAAGAGCTGTACCATCTTCTGCGACAGCCACACCTGCAGGTTAATCAACCGCTATTGGTTTCATGTTGAAGTACAGAAGAGATTAAGGGCCTATAAGGCCCATTGTAGCTCAGGCATATCCGTAAATCCTATTTTTTTGTAGTTAAATTTTCATGTACTCATGTTTAGTGCATATTTTGATTAAAAAGGGGGAATGTCATTGATGATTATGTTGGTTTAAATAAATCAACACCCCTGAGTCATACTGTCAGAACCTTCGAAGCACAGACCAAGGAGGAGAAGTAGCAAGCTTTCATTCATTAGCCTTGTAATCCCACTGGAAAACTCAAAAACAAGTTTTATTTGTTGTTATTTATCATCATTCTGATCCTTACTTAGAGTTTCTACGGTATCTGACTTTTATCTGATTTTGTGCTCAGCTCAGATAAAATAATAATTATGGGTTATTTTAACATTTATGTAGATGCTGAAAATGACAGCCTCAATTCAGTCTATTATTAGACTCAGATGCCTTCTCTTAACATGGAAAAGAGCCCACCCACCACTTTAATCACATGCTGGATCTTACACATGGCATAGAAGCTGAGCATTTACTAGTGGCCCTGAAAACCCTCTTTGTCTGATCATCTGTAATAATAATAATTAAATAATTTAAATTTACAATAATGGATTACAAAGCAGTGGGAATTCAGATCTCATCATAGTACATCATAGTCATTTTTATTGTTCTCTGTGCTTGTCCTGCATGCTCAGTGCAGTGTTCGATACTGTCAACAATAATACTCTCTTACAGTGATTAAGAGCACACTGTAGGTATTACAGGTAGTACACTGCAGTGCTTGGTATCATATCTCTCTAATAGACTCCAATTTGTTCATGTAAATGGAGAGTCCTCTTCACACACTAAAGTTTATTATGGAGTTCCACAGGGTTCAGTGCTATGATCAATTCTGTTTACATTATACATGCTTCCCTTAGGCAGTATCATCAGAAGGTGTAGCATACATTTTCATTCCCATGCAGATGATGCCCATCTTTATCTGTCCATGAAGCCAGATAACATATACCAATTAGTTAAACTGCAAAAATGTGTTAAAGATATGAAGGCTTGGATAATCTCTAATGTCCTGCTTATAAATTTGGATAAAACGGAGGTTATTCTATTAGGCTCTGAAAATCCCAGAAATGTGGTGGCTAACCAGATGCTGACTCTGGGTGACATTACCTTGGCCTTCAGTAACACTGAGAGCAAACTATTGCATTCGATTTTTATCAGGCTGTTCTAAAACTTCCCTGAAAAAGCCTTCAGTTGATCCAAAATGCTGCAACAAGAGTACTGACTTGCTCAAAGGGGGTCATCTGATTGTTGAGCTTTTCTCTCTAATATTGTGGGGTGTTTACCTTACAATATCCAATAAAATACAAGTACAAAGCACTTTGAGGCAACAGTTGCTGTGATTTGGCACTATATAAATGACATTGAATCCAACTGAAAATTCACAACATTTCTTTTCTGTATTTCATTAGTGAACTATAGTATTAGTGAAACTATGATTTAAATGTAGCTAGATTTGCATATGTACCTGTGTCCTTTCTATTGTTATTTGCTACTGTTATTGTTACTGTTCTTAGTCTCAGTCTGGTTTGTCTGTTTTCCATCAAGGCCCTTCTTTCGGCTCATGATACAATAGCCCTGAAGGACTATGAGCCGGTGTTGCCCCCAATGCCAGAAGACCTGCCGGACGATGAGGAGGCCACCCGGATCGTCTGCCTGGTGAAGAATAAACAGCCACTGGTGAGATTCCTGATTCCTAATACCTCCTCAACAGGCAAATGAAATCTGGTTTGTACAGATGGTTCTGAGCTGAGTAGAACATCAGTAGACCAGCTGTTTAGGAACTAAGCAAGCTTTTAATGAGGCAAAAAATTTTTGTTAGGTATGAATCTAATTTATTATTATCTCCTTAATTAACAAGCTTACTGGGACGAGGAAAATCAAAACCTTTCAGTTTTCAAATCAAAGAAGAAAGTATGTAAATTAAATATTAATTCAACGTAACTATGGCCAGTCAGTCCCCCAGACAGGGGGAAGTCTCTGGCTGTGTCTAGGGGAAACTGGTCGCAAATAGGAACATGGTGCTGCACCTAAACCCCCTTTTGATTGCTTTGGCTTTGGCTGTAGGTTGCATAGAAGACGCTAACAAACATTCACTAAATACTTGCTAATTGGCTGCAGGCTGTGAAGAGTGCAACACAAACTTGCAACAGAGACCCTTCATCTTCAAAATACGTCACTGAATGATGGTCAGTGTCTTCCATGCAAACTATGGCCAACTCTAGCAATATGCTAGTGTCTAAAGCAATCATAAGTAGGTTTTGAGTGCAGAGTTATTTTTGTGTACTGTTATTATGAAGGGATAGAGTCCAAAACAGTTTATTTTAAACATATTTATTTCTGATTTAATGCTGGATAACTTACATAGGAGTCTTTGGGGTTTGCTCCAGTTACCACTTTAAGATTTGGCTTCATTTTGAAAGTGCTGCTTTGTTTGTTGTGTGCAGTGCATGACCTAAATAGAGGCATCCACATACTTTTGAACTTACAAAAAGTTCATTGTATTTTAGGTGGATGCAGAAGTGGATATAAAACCAAAATCATATGGAGAAGCAGGAAAACTGACTCTTTAATCTGCACCATGAAGGAGTTACTTTTTTTTCAGGACTGCGTATGTAGGCAGATGCTCCTGAATATTTTAATATGTTGGGTTTTTGGCCAACTCAAAATAAGTCAAACAGCTGACAGAGAGCAGATGTTTGATTCATAATCTGTCATTTGTATAATTGTCTGTTGATGCTACAGATAAATTTCGAAAAGCAAAAGCCACTGGAATAGAAAGGAAACAAGACAGTTAGGAGACATCTGATGCTAATTTATCATCTGTCTCTATATGTCTTAAATGCATGCAAATGATTACTAGTTCAAACCTTGCTCTATCCGAGTGGAACATGATTCTGTTGTCTCACAGCTTTGCAACCACCACAAAGTTGGCACGCTGTTGCCCAATGCTTGTCCTCCCTGTGCAAAAAGCCCCAGAGGGGGGATCCGCCATCACTTGAACACCTTGAGGCGTTTGACCCGGCAGAAGCTTCACAGGGGGACAGGGTTCGGGGTCCAGAACCCCTCAGCTCAGAGTTGGATGCTAAAAGCAAATGATTCGTCGTGGTGCAGAGTCCGGAGAGGAAGCTACCCGCCAACCAAGCCAATGCATCACCTGACAGAGGCTCGACCATACCCGTTACCACAATGCAAGCCTATGACTGGCTGCCAGGTGTGCTGCAGCACGCCGATGAGCCAGTGCAGAGTTTGTTACTCCAACATGTTGTGGGAGCAAAGCTCAAATCGCTCTGCACCTTCAGTCTGCAGTTCAGTCCTGATTGGTAAGGAAAGATCTGGGCCTTGTTTTCCAATGAGTACATCTTTGAACTGCTTTTATTTCAACCTCTAAGATGCTTTTGGAAAACAAGCTGGTTCTTCATCACTTCTAATTGCACTGTCTTCATCCATTCATCCATCCCATCCACTCATGGATTAATAATGTCTGTTTTCTCATTGGAGACGTGGACGAGCTCAACAGTGGAGACGAGTACGAAGTAGGACAGTCCACCGGTGCTCCATCACCATTTCCCCAACGTTTGACCATGACTCCCCCATGTCTCAGCATGCATGATTACCTCCAGCCAGGCCTGTCTCCAAGGTTCAGAACTAAAAGCCCTTGCATCCGAACAGCCCCACCCAGCCCCATGCGGCCTCACCGCATAGTGGAGGTGCCGCCCGTGGAGCTCGTCAAACAGGAGAGTCTGGACGAGCTGAGGACGACTGTACAGTTGGCCGCCAGCTCCATGGAGAGCAGCACCAAAGACATAAAGCACCTTGGGGAGAGGATGGCAGCAGCCACAGAGCACATGTCGGTGACAGTGCAGGACAACTCGCAGGCTTTGCTCCTCCTCACGCAGGTTGTGGACCGGTTGCAGACGCTCCTCACAGCCACCAGATCTGAAGTAAACACCCTTAAAGCTGCTGAGCAGGAAGGCACTTTGAAGAAAAGCCCAACTCAAAAGCCTCAAGGGCACCAGTCCCCATGTTCCTTCAGCTCCTCCTCCAGCTCCCTCAGCAGCTCCTTGGACCCTCCTTCCACCTCCCAGTTGGGCAGCTGCCAGTCTCCGTCTTGTCGTGGATCTCCCTGGGACACAGTGAAATCAAAAAACTCTCCTGTGGCACAGAAGAAGCACAGCCACACTGATCTGGAAACATCCAAACATCAGCTTACAAATGGCCTGTTTGATGAGAAGTTCAGTCCCTTGAAAGGAGGTCGCTCAAACCAGAGGAAGAAAAAGAAGAGGAAGAAGGCGACATGAGAGCTGTCCAGAAAGTGGCCTTCTTTGGGTCCTTTGTAGGAGCACCGAGGCTACCCTGCAAACAGTGGTAGTTCATGTTTCTTTTGTCTGTTTCATTACATTTCATCTGTGGCAAATCAGCTCCAGTTTCCCTTCGTTTGTGTCACTATTACGTTATTTAGGCCTGAATTAAACCTTCAAGTCTCTTCTTGCATATCCATCGGAGCCACATGTGTCCATTTTATCTTCATTTGTCTGACCTGGCAGCAACTGTTTATTCTGTTTTTTCATTTCGTCTTTCTCAGGGAGCAACTATAAAAAGAAATGAGATCACAGGAGAGATTTTTATAGCTCGGGTGATTCACGGAGGGCTTGCGGATCGCAGTGGTGAGCCTTTTTTTTTTTTTACCCCCGTTTAACCCCCTATAGCTAATGTTTGTTGTTTAGATGAGTAAACCCTAACTCTAATCTTAACTCTAGACTTTCACTGGAGGATTCCTAGATTAAGCCTAGTGCCAGACTAAAAGAAAACATCAGTGACGATCTACACTGGAAAACATCTGACACGTAGAGCTTAAAGTTATGCATTAATGCAAAACTGAACTTTCTGTGCTGAGGACAAATTGTTTGCAAACATCTGTTTTGGGGCCTTTAACTTCATCTTGCACTCTTTATTCTGCAGATGTACACAGACCATCTGATTGTGTTCATTTTCAATGTTGGGATGATTCATGTAGGAAGACACAAAAAATGTTCCTGGTCAATCTGCTTCCAAATTCTAGTGCTAGTTGCAATTAAGCACTTTATATAAAACATGGATCTCATCTATCGATTCGTGGAGCTCCAGGTTGAGATATTTTTTTTGGTCCATAATACAGTAACTTTACCTTTCTTTATTATGTAGTTTTCACAAGTGAAGACAAAATTAGCACCATGTTGAACTTTTTACTGAGGTCATGAATAAGGTGGTGGGTAGGGTCTCCACTCCTAGACAAAAGGATGGATCTTTGCTTCCAGAGAAGCTTCCCCCTGCTGACCATTAGGGGAAAAAAATGCAGGTTTATTGTATTTCTGCTTTGGCATCACTTTTCAGACCCAAAGCTTATACTATATGGGCAAAAGGGCTGGGCCATCTCCACATTAAATCTACAGGAGCTGCTCAGCCATGAAGCTCCCAGCTCATAGGTTTTGTGCTGATGTTAATGCTGGAGGAGATTTGGAGCTCTACAGTTATCATAAAGACAGGTTGCATGGCTAGGTGAATGATTTTATACACCTGTGCCAATGGGACTCAAAATACCTGAATTCAAATAGTAAAAGGTGTGGCCCCGTACTTTTGTCCATGCAGTGTACATCTATATTTGTTTTTGTCACATTTTGGGAGCATTTATAAGACAATCCTAACAAAATAAAAGGTTCAGAACCAGAGACATGGACTGGTTGGGTTGGACAAAGTTTTCTTGATGTTCATGCAGACAGGACTTTCTTCTTCTGGTTACAGACACATCCTCATGTGGCTTTTACCTTTACCATGAAAATAAATGTAACTTTAGACAATTTTAAAACATCCACACTGGTTATATAGTATACTAAAGAAGCTCTGACAGCCAGCGATTGGACCTGTAAGCTTTTAAATGACAAGTTGTACTTAAATTTGATTGCTTTTGTTATTGATTATAACAATGTATTGATCATATTTTTCATTGAGGTTTTAGTGTATTACAAACAAGAAAAACTACAGTAGATTAAAGCACATAAAAGTTAACAAAACTAAAGAAAACATGAAATGAAAAACTGATATCTTTTTTAATGCATGTTTGCGTTTGTGTGTACATAGGTCTACTCCATGCAGGGGACCGGATCATAGAGGTGAACGGTTTTCCTGTGGACGGGATGGAGCCTGAACAAGTTATCCAAGTTGTGGTGGGTCACTTGTTCATCAAATAAAATGTGCTCTTGCTGTTGTGTATTGTTTGCATCCAACATTGGTTCTGTTCATGCTCCATTTTGTTTTCTTACAACCAATCAGCAAGCTCGGTCGCATGGCACCATTATGTTTAAAGTCATTCCCATCACAGAAAGGCCGGTCCACAACCAGACCATGGTGAGTCTTTTACCACAGCTCAATTATTATTGCCTCTGTTCACATAAAAAATATTCACCCCTATTTTGTGTGTTTCTCTTTGCTAGCTATACGTACGGGCCATGACTGACTACAGCCCTCAGCAGGACCCGGCCATCCCTTGCGCCGATGCCGGCATGAGCTTCAGAAGAGGCGACATCCTGGAAATTGTGGACCAGACAGATGCCCTCTGGTGGCAGGCAAAGAAACTACCCAGCAGCACAGCATGTGCTGGCCTCATCCCCTCCACCAACCTCCTCAAACGGTCAGATATGGTTCTTTTAAGCATGCTCTTCCAATCTTGGACTGCATGTAATAGGTTTTTATTTTGCTGTTTGGTTATTTTTATGGGTAAGGTGTTAAAATTCCCTGATTCATTCAATTCCATCTCCTAAAAGTCATCTTTAATTCAGTTCAATTCAATTTAACAGTATTGAGATACGAATTAATTAAAATGAACTGATTAAAAGAAGAAGAAAGAAAACAACAATCCCTTCCCCTTTGAGCAAGCACTTGGCAACAGTGGGGACAAAAAACTCCCTTTAAAAAGGAAGAAACCTCCAGCAGATCCAGGCTCAGAGAGGAGCGGCCATCTACCGCGACCAGTTAATGGGTTGTAAATTTATATACAACAAACATACTATGATATCTGCTTATTTTTCTTTTTGTTTTCCTTTTGGGGCTTTTCCTCTGACATATTCTGACTTTGGCCCTTAAGATCTACTTGTTTGGTAACGCTGGCCTCTTCAGCTTGTTCTTCTTGAATTGACTGCTGCACTGTCTCATTTCGAGCCTGAGGATTTTCTAATTCAGTAAAACTGACCTCTTTTTCTTGGTATTATATGTCCAGACATGATCGAAATGTTGTGATGCTTACCAGGTCTTTAAAATGAGATAAATACAAGTTCAGATAAAGCATAAAATATGACATAAATATTACACTGTGTGTTTATTTGTTTAACAGAAATTCAAGCCAAAATAGAGAAGCAGTGTGTGAAAAACTAAGTACAGTCTACTGCTTCCATAATTAGGAGGGTAATTAGCACCACCACCTCTTTGAAAGCAGAAGTGTTGGCAGTTTGCCGGTCTGGAGCATTCACTTATGTGATGTGTTTGTTGCTGGGATGTCAACTCTTGGGAAGATTGTGGTCCTGGGCACATTGCAGTGATTGACCATGACTTCCTCTGTATATCAAAGTATTCTAGAATCAAATGGGAGGGCGTCTGTCTGACAGCTGAAGCTTGGCTGAAACTGATCATGCAACAAGACCAGATGACTCTCTGTTATGTCCTACAATGTATAACCTCAGAAGTGCAACAGCATGTCCTTTATCAGGTTAGGATTACATGAAAAAACAAAATTCATATTTGGCTTATTCCAGGATGGCCATGTCTGTACGAACAAGTGATAAAACTGAGACTTTAAATAATAATGAAATGCTCTTCCACTGGGTTTGAAGCTTTAAATTTCGGATTTAGATTTTGTTGTTTGACATATCCAGATGACTGGATGGATGGAGCTTATCAGCTAATGCTTAAGGCTAGCTAGCTAGCAGTAATATTTGTGATCCTAGTTTGGGTTAAATCAAAGTATACTGAGCAGCCAACTCTTTATAGTAACCTCTAGTACAATTGAATGCTGAGCAAGGAATCTGAACTGAATCAGACTGAAAAGGGACATGTATTGAATGTATTCAGTGAGACTTAAAACGAGTAATTTAGATCATTTACTCCTCAAGAAATTGTTTCCTGGAGTCATAAATGTAGTAAAAAATCAAATATAATTTGAATATATATATCAGCTCGTC